TTCTAGATATGACAAAATCTGCATTGAAAAGAACTCTGGCAATAATCTAAAAATCTTAAAGACAAAAGAGACTTCAGGAATTACATCAGCACATTTTCTACTCAGAACACAGAGTGGTACCAAATGTGCTCACAGCATTTATTGTCTGTAAAACTTATGTGCCATTTATTTTATGATAAACCGTTTTTCTCTATGATAGCAAAAGCCTAGAGTAGACCATGCTTCTTTTCCCTGAGCGTCAAGGTGCTCAGAGTCCATTCTTTTGGCAATATTAGCAACTACATCAACTCTGAGAAGGAACCTGTTTGTTTCTTCAACTTGCATTTGTTCTGATTTCCTATTTCTATTGTATTCATTTTACAATATATATCATTGCTTAAGTTTCCCAAATCCTTCTTGATAAGAGTTAATTTTAAGTAAGAGTTCATAAACAATAACATAGTCTGTCCCTGACATACTCTTTAGTTTTATCTCTTTACATCTATCAATTTTGGGCTGTGCTAGAAGTCCTTAATCTCTTGTACTCTGTTGTATTTCCTTCAACATCTACTCTTGGGCCCAGAGTATATATCTATTCTTTTCTGTTATTGCAAAATGAATGTAAAAACTAATAGTGCAGTAATTTTAAATATGTAACAAACCTAATGCTAAGATTTAAAAGGCCATCTCAATAATACACTTAGTCTTCAACAGCAGTCACCTTTGCTGACAAAAAGTTAATGCATTTAGCAAAGACTTGGGCAGATCCTCTTTCTGGACACTGTTCTAACATTTGGAAACATCAGTGAGCAAAATAAAGATCCTTGCCCTAAATAGTTTTTTTTTTAATTTTGGTATGGCAAAAAACTATAATCAATAAATATATTAATTAACTAAATGATGTAGTAAGGTAGAAGGTGTTAAGTGCTATGAGAAAGAGAAGATATAGAGCCATTTAGGAAGGCGAGATCATGAGTTCTGGAGAGGTGCAGTTCCCATACCTAAAAAAGTGGTCAAATAAGCGTCCCTGAAAAGATCTGGTAAATACAAGAAATGAGCAACCCAGTAGGTGGGGGAAGAGCATCCAAGTAGAGATAGAACTTGAAGAGATGTCTGGTTTGTTTAAGAAACTGCACCAAGTACAGGGGAAGGGGGCAGGCAGGAGATTGGTTGGGCACATTACCCATGGTTTCAAGGGCTATTGCAAGGACTTTGGCTCTCTCTTTAAAAATGAAATGGAAAAATATTGGAGGTTTTAAACAGAAGGGTGACACTATCTGATTCATGTTTCATAAGTATAGTTGTGAGATCTGAGGAGAGACCATCCAGTGAAGCAGGGATACCTTTTTCAAATTTTCCAAAAGCCAGATGATAGTAGCTTAGACTGAGGTTGTGTAAGGGTAGAGGCATGAAATATTCAAATTCTGGATAAATGTTGAAGGTGCATTCAATAGATATTCTTGGTGATTATGTGTGGGATGGGGTGAAAGAGGTGAGTCAGGATAATTCTGAGGTCTTTGGGCTGAGCAGTTGGAAGGGATAATTGCTGTCAGCAAAGATGAGATGGCTGCAGATAAAGACGAGGTCCAAGTTTGACATGTTGACTTTAGATTGTTATTATTTTTCTGAGTGAGCATCTGGACTTATGAAGTTAGATTTTAGGAAATAGGTCTGGGCTGGGAATATAAATTTGGCAAGCATTGGCATTAGTGTTGTATTTAAACCTTGAAATTGAATTTAGTCATGGAAGAAAGTGTAGTTAGAGATGAGTAAGGACTAAGTCCTGGGACCACCAAAACTGTGAGTCAGAGAGAAAAGGAGGAACCATCCAAAGAGACCAAGAAGAATTAGGCCATAAGGTAGGAGAAAAAGAAATAAAATGTGCTTTACCAGAAGCCACAGGAAGAAATATTTTAGGAAGAAGTAAATGATTTAGTTTCAAATACTAAGAAGTTCTTTTTAAAAATGGAACAGAAATCCATCAAATTGCAATTAGAGACTAGTTTCAATTATTTATAAATAATCCAAAACAATTAATGATCATTCAATTCAATTGAATTCAGCCTCTCAGACACATGTACACATATCAATAAAAAGTGTGGAACATATAAGGGAAATAAAAATAGAATACAGTCTTACTTTTTGGTGCCCCAGGACACCAAAAAGGTCTCTGTTTTTAAAACTCCCAATGATTTATCTAGTAATTGGTTTACAGGAAGGGCCAGATAATGTACCACTGTCAGACACCAATAGGATAAGTTTGCATACATATTATTATAACAGTCTTGGTTCTAAAGGTCTCTTCATTTCAATGAACTTTGTTCTGAGGCTCTCTACCTCAAACAGCCAGCTACAAGTTCTGGCCTGAAGTTTGGATTTAAATTCCAAATTGGATTTAAATCATGACACAAAATGTCATCAACTGAATAATCATTCCAATCACCAAAAGTCAGAGTTCAAGAGCAAACCCAAGTCATCGAAGAGTACTACCCACTTTCTTTTCTCTTGCCCCTGACTATAGCGAAAAGTATTTGAAAACATGGAGATTTCTTAAGAATCTATTTCATGTATTTTTACACTTAAAATTTTGGAGAAAATTAGACACATGAACTTTGGTTGAAAAGTACAGCTCTCTAGGGGACTAATCATAATATAATAACAATATATTATAATATAATACATTAATAAAATATGTTAAACTATATAATTTTATAACATGTATAATATAAAAGTATTAGAATCAAGTACTGTTCCAAGCAATTTAAATTATTTTTATTCATTTAATTTTCACAACACCATGATGTGGAATTATTATAATCACCATTTGTAGATGTGAAAACTCAGACAAAAAGAGGTCAAGTGACTTGCCAAAGATTCCACAGAAAATAAGTGCAAGAATCAGATTTCAAACCAGGTACTCAGTCTTCAGAATTATGTCTTAACTATCTACCTCTCTTGTATCTCCTCTGTCAATACTACTTTAGTAGTAATGTAGGGTAACAGAATATCAACAAAATCTGCAGAGATCATTAGCTCTAAACACATTGTGGTTCCTACTCTCTTGGTCACAGAATGAATCCCATTAGGCTCACAATTGATTAATTCAGCCAAGACCCATAATTTAATTAATATGATCATGAGTTAACTTCCATTAGTGTAGTATGACCAGTATTTACAAAATCAAATAAAGAATAGAAAACATCAGAAGCCATTATATATAATAGAGGTAAATTGTGTGTGTATGTATGTATGTGTTTGTGTGTGTGCTGGACTGAGAAATGATTTACTAACTGAAGGTTGAGGTTAAAAGTAAAACAAAAAACAATTTAGTTTTTATTCAGGGATACAAGGAATTCTCCTTCTAAGAAAAATTAATTCTATTGCCTACCTATAGAACATTATCAATAACAGTTGGCACTGGGTCATCAACACATTTTAAATAGGAAAATTGGAGTTTCATCTGAACCAGATAGATTATACTCAGAACTGTTGCTGCCACTTAACCTGTCTATGAGAAGATGACGATGTAAGATTCTTAAAAATTAACCCTTGGAAAATTCCAGATGGGTTTAATGCCATTGGTTATTTAATCAACCATCTCATTCTCTATCAAAACAACTGAAAGGTCATTCATCCTTATTAAAACACTGACACTGAAGAAAGCAACTAAAAACGCCAAGGTTTCAGCTAGATCCCACTCTTATTTAATATCCCTTTTGGGTCTGCCTAGTGCACTAGCCTGGTGCACTTTTCTTTGTTCTTAGGGGCATATATCTAGCTTCCTCCCACATAAATCTTGCATGGAAAGAATGGTACAGACTCTAAACATTATTCTTCCCCCACAGATGTAAAAAATGCATGAGCATGCAGTACTTGCTGGGCTGTGTGTGGCACAGAAGGGAAGATCTAAGACAGCCCGTAGGCAATATCAATTTCTTTGAGACAATTATACATGGCCTCAATACTCCTCAAGGAGTCATAATTATAAGAGATGCCTCTGTAGCTCATCCAGGCTGTCAGCTATGTTTTCCTGCACACTCAGTGTGCTCAGAGCTCCATGTGGGGTATGGTGCGAGTGGTCAGCTTCCCATTCCAGGAGTTTGCAGTGTAGTGGAGAGACAAGGCAAACAGTTGTGATAAAAAGATATCACTTCATACTAAAAGGAGAAGAGAATGATTTTTCAAAAATTTTCTAAATACATATTTCATTTTACCCCAAAGTTACAAGAATCGGTGCTGTATTCTTATAAAATGTTTGATTATATATATTTCATTGAAATTTTTTGAGATTTCTGGATTTTGAATAATATGTTTTTATTTATTTTTTGTTTCAGTCCTTTTCACTAAAGATGGCAAATGTTGACTTACACACAAAAGAAATTATAATAAGTTTAATTTACATTTTCCTTGGAAGAAAAGATCATGGATAATAGTGGAAACCAAGCAGCAGCTTCTCTAGATAAGACACATAAACTTCCTTGTGTGCCTGCTGAGTTTTAAAGATGAAAATGAAAGAATTTTTTTACTTTTCCCCAATCCTTTTAACCATAGCCTCTACTGCAATTTTTTTCTTCAACCATTAAGAAACACTATGGAAATGAAGAGAAATGAAGTCATGTGTATTTATGTTCACTTTAAGGATGGGTGATGGGAAAAGATCACTATCACCCAAAGTTATTGTATCTGAAATGTGATTAATGCTTTTGCATAGATTTTCATCCCAGAAGAATCTCATGCAGCTGGTGATGCAGACTATAGCTTAAGATAAGAGATGCACCCAAGTTTTCTGGGCATTTCTTGAGAATATAATACTGACACCCAGGTTTTGTGATTCTAAATTTGATCACAATTACAGGAGTAATAGAAGAACTCAGGATTTAATGTACAATTATATGTATTCTATTATTCAACAAGGAACACTTTTCACTGATCTTCAGAGATGCAAAGTGTTTGAATCTGCAAAGAAATGCAATAAGAAGAATTGATACTATAATCTGACATTTCCGATTTTTTTCCTACAGTTAGCACTCCACAACCAGATGCCTCAACTTCTGAAACTAGTATATCACCCTTAGTATCAACAACAATTCCAGAAAGCATCTCAGCATCTCAAGGTATGACTTCTGTGTGCATGACCAGAAACTCGCTTTGTTTAACTCCTTCTCACCAAGAAAACCCTATCATTTTTTAAACAAGCTTTATTAACTTATAATTGATATTTAAAAATGCACATCTACAAAAGGGGAGACACAAGGACATTACTGGATGTCCCAATAATGGGAATCCAATAATACATATTATTGGAATGTATATATATTGGAATACCCTCCAATACCCAATTGGAATTACTTCATTGTGGTGATGGTGTCAAGGATGTATGTCCCAGCTCATCAAATTGTATACATTAACTCCCTACCAGTCTTGACTTGCAAAACAGAGTTCTTTCAGAATGAGATCAAACGTACTTATTTGAAGTACCCTATTTATAGATCACAGAGGCTTACTTTGATGAGGGGTTATGGGCGAATGAGGCAAGGATTGTGAAGATTGGCATACATTACCTGAAAGTAATTTATTTTTTTCTTTCTTAAAATAATAGGCACTCAGAATGCAAAAAATGCAAGTCCTTCTTCGACCAGCCCATCTCGTTCCAGTGAGTGACATTCAGAACAATAGATATGTGGGATATTTGAATGTTACTAGTAAGGGAAGGGATTGGATTATAGCTAGACTTTTATCAGCTATCCTAAACCTTGAATCCCATTATAATCCTATCTAATTGCCACTTGCTTTGAGAGTTCCTCAAAGAACTTTGAGAAAATTCTTTGAGCAAATTTCCTCAAGAATTTTGTGAGTCTGGTTTTAATGAGCACAACTTTGAGATTATTTTCTTACCTTAGTACTGAGCAATTATCACCAAACTTCAAGGTTGAACTGATAAAACTAATCTCAGAGAAGCCAAATTGCACAGAGCTCTCCATAAAAATGAATTGTTCACCTACACAAAACTTTGCCTTTATGTTAAAAATGGCCTCTTAATAAATGTTTCATTTTAGCAAAAACAGATATATGTCATATAACATACAAGGTGGGGCAAAGCCAGTTTACAATTGTTCATATGGACAAGAGTAGAGTACAATAGTTGATAAATCATAATACAAGAATAAACTGTGTTTCACGTGCTCACAACTGTAAACCTCCTTTTGGCCCACCCTGTATGTGTGTACGCTGGGACTAAAAGGAGAATATTTATTAATTTCCCTGGAAATTTAGAGTAAGGTGAATACATATGAAGCTGGAATTCTAAAAGATTATTTTAGGTTGAGGTAAAGCCATTCCATTCAATAGGATGGCTTTGCCTTTACTGACCTGCTGACTCTCATCCCCATTTGGGGAGATGTCACTCAAGGTCTCATATGAACCCAGAAGAATTTACTTGAAACAAATATTTAATAACAATGGAAGTATAAACCACCCTACAAATGAATCAGATAACCATTTTCATTCCCTGATAAACACAATGAATACATAAGCAAACAGATAAGAATACCTAACTAAATGCTAACAATAATTTCTATGTCTCTAGTTATATCACTAAGACAGTGTTCTCCTTTCATCACTATTGTTTTAAACTGAGAAATGACTGCCAGAAAAGAAGTCAGATGCTTTTAAAAAAGTAAAACCCTCCTCTTAATAAAAGGAGAAAACACCATAATCACCCAGATATATATTTATATATACATGTATATTATGCACATCTTTCTTGAACCATGTTGTTCATGTTTAGAAATATGCACTGTGATATAAATTATATTCACTTATGTTGTTTTATACCTTTTCTAAGATATTATTATGGAAAGATATTTGTGAGTATTTTAGAAAGCCAGCTTTATAACTAAAGCAGATCCAGTGTAGGTTATGTATGTTATTTTTTTCCAATAACTTCACTATAAAGTAATAATATAAAGCAGTAAAGAATATAATGCATGAATGTAGAGCTGAGTCTAGGTCCAGAGAACATCTTCTGCCTCTTATGTCCCATCTCTTCTCTCCTCTGGTCTCTGGGAAAGTCAGAAAAGAAAGGTTTGAAATTTTATTTCAGAAAGGCTACAAGACTGACATCAAGTGGATATGTCAGAAACGACAGCTAAGGCAAAACCCATGAATCAGATACATTTTCTTTGCTCGAAATACAGTATTTTAAATAGAATGACATTTAAAGAAGAAAGTATGCATGCTTTTGCTCTGTTTGTAAACCATTTATTGTGAAATTCAATTCCATGCTAACTGACTATGTCTACAATATTTTTAGGTATTATTTTGCCGGTGGTTATTGCTTTGATTGTACTAACACTTTCAGTCTTTGCTCTGGTGGGCTTGTACCGAATGTGCAGGAAGACAGACCCAGGTAGGTAACAGTGTTTTGTTTCATTTTGTTTTCCTGAAGGGAGAATACACACGTTATATCAAAATTTTAATTTAAACTCTTAAGGAGCGAGGGGAATTATAGAAAGAAATAAAATGCCACATTGCTGGATCACAGAAATAATGGGGAAGGGACAGAGAAACCCATGAAAGGCTGGTGTATGTAAGAGGCAGAGATAACTACTAGTGGCAGATATTATCAGGTGGGAGCAGATACTTTTTAATGAACTAGCCCTGGATTTGTGGGTGCTTGGGGGAATGTGGTACTAAAGAACACAAAAAATACATGTTTTTTGTAGTGACCATTTGTTTTCATTTTTGTTTTTGTTTTTGTTTTCCATGGAATAGAGGGTAAAGGGAAGCCTTGCTAAGAATCCAGTTCAGGGGCCTATAATCTCAAGAAGAACATTCTGTGACTTAGTCCCTCCCCTGGGGAGGCACAGCTTCCATCCAATGAAAGTGTCTTCCAGGACACTGTGTTCTGCTCATCAAACTGGTTTCTCAGGATGGAACATTGTTGCAAATTTTAGTGGGATTCTAGTTTGAAATTCTTTATTATCTTCCTTAACGTCTCTTTTCCTTTTCTTTAAAATGACACTGCTCTCTTTTAAACATTCTCACTCTTTTTTTTTCTTCTTGTTATTTCATCTTCTCCCTGCCTCTTAAATACTTCTAGTTCCTATAATGGCATTATATCTTTATTCTTTTTTACACAGATGTTTTATTTTAATACAGATTTAGATTAACTGAAACACTGCAAAGATAGGTACACAGAATTCCTATATACCCTATAGCTGTTATTCTTATTAATAATGTGATATATTTATCACAACTAACTAATATCGGTTGATACATTATTATTAACTGAGATCCCTACTTTGTCAGATTTCTTCCAATCTTTATTGTCTTTTTTCTGTTCCACAGGAAGTGGAGGTTTTTATTTATTGCTTCACCTGAATTGACCTTCAGTTCCCATCGCTCACAATCCCCTCTGTTACCTTAAGCATCAATCAGTCCTTCTGTCCAGACCCCTGGCCTGCTTGTATAATGCAGTGTTATGTGTACATGCCTTTGTCCGCACTAGTATTTCTCCTCGAATGTCCAGCTTGCCATTTAACTTTTATCCCATGCCCAATCTCCACTTTGTCTATTAGCACCTAGCTCAAACACCAGTTTAACCTATCTTTTTATAACATGCCATCTCTTTAAGCAGAATGGAGTGTTCTCACTTTAAATGCTATGGACTTTTACAATATTCATCATGCTATAGTATAGTTGCTTTTCTCTGTGCCCGTTCTCCCTTAGTCTGTTCCAGGTACTATAACAAAAATAGCATGGAATGGGTGTCTTAAACGACAAACTTTTATTTGCTATGGTTTTGGAGGCTGAGAGATCCAATTGAGGTGCCAGATTGGGTGTCTGGTGAGAGTCTTCTTCCTGGTTTATAGGTGACCACCTTATCACAGTGTCCTCACATAGTGGAAGGAACAAGAGAGTTCTCTGTGGTCTTTTTTATAGTCACTCAGCCCATGAGGACTCAGTCCTCATGACCTAATCAAGTTCCAAAGGCCCAACATCCTAGTACCATTTTATTTGGCTTGGAGATTTAACACAGGCATTTTTGGGGAACACAAATATTCAGTCCATAACATCAGGCAGCCTCTCCAACCACACACCACGTAGTATTCACCCTGCATTGTGTATAATATATCGCGGAAACTACTACATACTTGATGAGTTGAATTTTTAAGTTATCAGTAAAATAGAACCTTGTCTTTGCTCACTTCCATTCCAAATATTGCATTAACAGAACTCTACCTAAGTCTCAAATACTATTAAAAAGTAAAAATCCATTTTTATAAGATATATAAGCTACATTATTCTTTGTTTACCCCATGGACAGTGTGTCCCCAGGATGCTAATGAATGCTTCTCCTGAGGCCAGTCCTTAACCAGGCACAGCATGGCTGGACTGGTGCAAGAGCATGACAATGTAAGGGAAGTTATGAGCAAAAAGAAATAAAGAAAAAACAGTAGTGTTCATTTTAGCCCTTGGTGGAAAGTAATAAGAAAACAAATCAATGACTCTCCCTTGGGAAGTTAGTGAATAAACTTCTCAATAATGTCTAAAATATGGTTTCTTACTGAGTTTCCAGGGGGGAAATATCATTTTTATAAATCAATTTAATTTATCTAAGTTTCTGAACCACCAATATTATCTTTTATGAGAAATCAACCATTCAAGTTGAAGTCTATGGAGTATATAGGAAAAGTAAAAACTTAATGTGCTAGACCATTTGTAAAAATACCCTTTATTGAAAACTGCTTTGCAGAGGAAGATTTGCGAATAAGTTTTCTGAAAAGTTGACATTTGCTATTAAACAGGACTCTACAAATAAATTAATCATTCAGGAAGAAATGTATAAAATTCCTACCACTGTGAAAAATAAAATAAAATTTCTATCACTATGGAGAGTTATTCTGAAAACATATAATATTTTATGACAAATTTTGGTAATTGCACAATTAGCCAAATCTATTTAGTTATCATTAACTTTGTTTGCCAAACAGAATTTGTAGCATTGTTATCATTAAATTAGCACCATGAAACACCCACAGCAATCATTCTTCAATATGTTCATGAGACTCATTAAGTTCAGAAAATTAGTAAACCTACTCTGCTCACTGGAAGACAACATGAATCAGACTGACTATGAAATTGAACTTATCTGGATAATGTTGACTATAGTCTGAGCTCTAGCCCAAATAAGAACCTCATATAGTTGTTGGTGTGTATCTATCTGGCAAAATAAACCCATGTTACAGAGTTCCAAGGAAAAAATCTTAAAACAGGCATACAAAAAATACCAACTCATGTTGGAACAGGGTTATGAGCATCACAGGTGATATCCTATAGAGCACTTACAATAGGAATTTTAAAATGCTGTTAAAACCCTACTGATGGTAGAGAAGACATGGTTCAATCGAAGTGGTGAACAGCACATGGTAACATGAACTAAATCCTGGGGATTAAGGGTCATGGTGATGTGTTTTAGCCAAGATGAAGTAGAAGTAGCCAAAATATTAGTGGAAATCAAGGTCTTTATAAAACAATGATGCTCAAAGGCCAGAAGAATTATATTTAAAGGGCTTTATATATCCAATGACAATAGCTAGATTAAAGAAGGAAAGAAGAGAAGGCAACTGAGGAGCAATGGAATAAAACCACAACAAAATTGGGAACAAAGCAAAGAAGACCTTGAGTGATTATATATTTTACCTAAGAGCCCACAGTTAATGCAAAGTGTTACCATCATGGCTTCTGGAGGTCATGCTCTTAAGCAGAACGAATCACTCTAAGCCCAGGTTGGTTTCTGCCAGACCCCAGGGAGCAGCCTGGCAAAGCCTACAAAGTATTAGTTGCCCTTAGTTGATTCAGTGACATTTTGCAGGGCACATTTGAGAGACCGAATTAGTATGATTCAAATGTAATTAGAAGCAATATTGACATAGTTCACCACGAATACAGTGATTTGGGTCCCCAGAAAGAGTAATGTATAAAGAAAGAAATGTCAGAAATTCAATTCTCTGATATAAAAAGGAAATTCAATACTTTGAGGAGAATGTTTTCCAGAAATATGGAAGTAAATAGAAATAGTTTCTGGTGTTTGGGGAATGTAAAGCTACAGGATGAACATCAGCACAGAACGAAGTTCAGCGGGGTTGCCCTGGCTGGGACTACCCCATGAACCTATCAGCCACAATCCTGGGGAATGAGTGGTAACTGTATGAGTATCTGAAAAGCTGATCAATAAGGCAGGGAGTGGAGAGAATAAAAAAGGTAAAAAGTATCTCTGCATAACAAATGGCAGGGTCTAAGGTTTGTTTTTGTTTTGTTTTGTGTAGCCAAGCTTCTTCCTACTCTAATAACAATTCTCTCCTCTCCTTAGGTACACCAGACAATGGAAATGACCAGTACGTAAGGCTATATCACTTTTTTTCCTGGAAGCTCGGATGGTATCATTTACATAGAAAAAATATTGATCTTCTACTTATATTTTCAGTTTTTTAAAAAAATTTGTGTAGAAAGTATTGTAAATGGAGTTTGACTATTTGTTAGAGCTCTCTCTTTTCAAAAGGGAAATTCCAACAACTAAAAGAGGATTGTTCTTAAGCTTGAATAAAGCATTAAAATGGAAAATCAAAAAATAAAATGTAAAAACAGAGGAACAAATATAACTATAAGAATAAACACCATAGTAAACATATCTAGAATTTTAAAATAGTTTACCCAGTGAATTTTTTAGTGCATTTCTCACCACTAGGGAGAAACATGGCTGCCCCTTGAGACAGTTCTGAGTGGCTTGATTGATGATAGAGTGTGTTCTGTGTTGACTTTTTAAAAACAAGCAAAACAGTTGTTACCAGTCCAGCCAGCTGGTGCAATCAAGGTGCTATGAAGAGACAAACTGTCAAAAAACAATTCTGTGGTTTATAATGTCAAAAACCATTTCTGTGGTTTCCTTTGTTGACTTGAACTTGTACCCTGCCTTTATGTAGGTGTTTTTGCATGTTTATCAGGCTATGAACTTTTGAAATAAAATGTGTAGATCCCTTCTTAATTAGAAATAAAGGCTTTTGAGATGTCCAGGGAAAGGATCAGCAGTTTGAAACTGTTTAGAATCTGGGAGGACAGGTGAGAACTCAGTTAAAATAGTTCAGAATACTACAGAATAGTTCAGAATATACTACAGAATCCAAGACCACATTAGAAGGGATACCCCTAGAACTCAGTGGTAGCCCCCAAAGTCCAGAAGCATTTCTATATCTTCCCCTTCATAACTCAGGAATGGAAATATACCATAAAGACCTTGTGACAAGTGTTTCACATGATCCATCTTGATGTTCCATTTATCAGAGGATCATTGCTGTATCAGAGTGACGGCAATTTACTGGCTTGATCCAGAAGTGGAAAATGCTATAAAAGTATGTGAATTTGTGTGTGAAGCACGGGTTTTGCCATAGAAACACATCAAACACATATGTTTGTGCATCTTCTTCATTCTGTATATATTGTGCTTACTTTCTATCACAGACAACGTGATGCTAATTACTGTGGCACTAATTTAATGGTTTTTGTTCCAAACAGACCTCAGTCCGATAAAGAGAGTGTGAAGCTTCTCACTGTTAAGACAATTTCTCACGAGTCTGGTAAGCTCCCAAATTGTTGATTAGATGAAAAATGTTTATTTCAAAATCTAACTTGGATTTTGTTTGTGTTAAAACATAACTGAAAAGTACAACTCTTTTGAAGTAGTCAATTGGTAATTCCCACCAAATACCAAATTTTCCTGTAAAGAAAAGATAATCCACAAAACACAATTTTTGATAAAATTATTGCATTATCTTGCTTTTAGAAGTTGCTTTTTATAATGTGTAGATGTGTTCTAAAGAAGGGGTAGTAACTAGGGGCATTTTCCATTCCTTAGGAGGGGTAAAAAGAACACTGCATGTGCTACAGGGTTTTTATCATCACTGTTATTTTGTTTCATTTTTGGTAATGGCTGTGTGTAGTCCACAGAATACAGGATGTGTCAGTTAAAATGTAAATCATGTTTTGTATAATTTCATATGATTTTAATTGAGTTTCCCCATGAGGACAAAACAGTTTCCTGCTGATAAAATTTGCATTTCATTTGCCTTTTTCTTAGGTTTCAATTTTGCTTGATTTGAAATGTAAAGGTTTTTTTCAAAATATAAATACGATTTCTATGAGTTATATTGCATCAACAACAATAAGTGAGATTCTCCATTGCTTTTAAAATTAAAAAGCACAGATTATTTTCTTGCTTTGAGTTGACCACATACTTAAAACATCAGTATTACAAAACAGATAATTAGGAAGTAATTATTATTTTTACAAAAAAATCCACGTGGCTCTAATTTAAATACCAAGTTACATTAACATATTTACAATATTCAGTTCTCCCAATTTTATCAATGCAAAATAGTCTGAGAATACAGATGTTATGTAAAGTGTAAATTATAGAATGACAAATAACATTATAAATATGTAGCAAATTTTTTTAAGATTTTACTTATTTTTAGAAAGAGGGGAAGGGAGGGAGAGATGGAGAGAAACATCGATGTGTAGTGTGCCTTTTGTGCATCCCCTGCTGGGGACCTGGCCCACAACCCAGGCATGTGCCCTGACTGGGAATTGAACCAGCAGCCCTTTGGTTCTCAGGTCGCACTGAGCCACACCAGCCAGGGCAGCAAATTTTTTTTTGTAAAACAAAAAGTTATATTTTCTCACTTCAAGAGCAAGATATGAAAGGCTGCATTAAATTTTAGTCAGGAAATTCTAACTAGAACAAACTACAAGCTGTGCAAAGGGGGGGAGAATGGGGGACATCTGTAATAGTGTCAGAATAAAAGAAGAGAGAGACAATAGAAGATGTGAAAGTGTGAGCACCCAAAACCCGCAGACATACCCAAACCCCTCACATGAGCTGCTCTCTTAAGAGAGACTGTCTTCATTCATGTACCTCTTCCACTCTTTAATGTACATGGTTCCTTTATTTCTACACTGTTCTCTCAGAGGTAACTAACTATCTGAAAGGGCAGAGGAGTAAACTTCATTCATAGGATCATTGGAAACTACTCACAAGGTTTCCCTGGCTATTCACCTGGTGCCACTAAGTAGCCAGGCCTATTCTACCAGGTCAGGGAAAAGCAGCCTAAATGTGAACTAGACCTGAGTAAGTTCAAGCAGAATCCTGAGCATGACTATCCTACTTGTCAAGAAGAGTTCTCAGAACCTGCCCATGACTTGCAAGCAGGCACCATAACAATTTCACGCACTTTCTTTTACTCCTGCGGAAATTTAACCTAACGTTGCAGCCTAGGGGCTCTTCAGGCTGGGGTTGGTGTGCTAACCTGCACTTGGTTGAAGCCTCCATGTACCAGCCCCTGGCCCTCCAAGAGGGGGCTGGGATCGGGACCATCTACTGCACCATCCTTTTCTACCAGGGAAAAGACAACTGATACCTGAATTGAGGCCTCTGGGGGAGAAAACTCTGAAGAACCCTCTGTTACTTGATGACAAATGTGATATCTGACTCTTCTTTAAGGCCCAAGGAGAATGCTGCACATGCTGGTACCTCCCGCTCATAGAGTAGCTGCAGTGATAAGTGGAACAGACCGTGGCAGGACAGTCAAGACCCTTGGCTCTCCAAGCTCCCTTTTCTTCACAGGGAGGCCCGTTCATCATGGAAATAATGAGATCTGTTCTCTGGTACTTCTATTTCTGCCAATCCCCACTTAGAACTCACACCTCATTTAATACAATAACCTCTTAATGGTCAACCCAGCTGATTGCCATGGGAAATATTTGGGCAGAGGACAAGACTGAATTGGTGATTTGGAGTCAGTTTCCACAGCCTAGAGTTAATAATCTAAAACATAATGATCTCCAAATGCTTTTTGTGCTGCCACAGTTTTATCAAAATCTGGTCCCTGAAAACACTCACAAATCTCTTTCCCCTGCCTCTCAAACTTATAACATGCTTTCTTTATAAGCTAATGTTCACTACACTCAACAGAAGTTACATTATAATGATCTTTACTTAATACCTTTTGTCCACTAGTGACATCTTTCCTAAAATATAACTAAAATAAAATCTGATATGATTAGGTTTGATCTAAGTTTACAGATTTAGCCCAATTTTCCCCTAAGTCTTGTATAGACTTTTTAAAGAAATTTTTAAAATACAGAAAATAATTTGATAGAACAAATACCTGGCTACCCATCACTCAGAATTGATAAGCATTTTATGTTATGTACTTCTAAGAAATGCAGTGAGCACCCATGTGCCTAACTGGTAACACGATGGAATTTGAGCTTCTGTGACCATACTAGTTCACTGGATCGGTCAGTGTTTCAATTTATAAACTCTAGTCTTATATCTGAAAATAAATTGTCATTTTCGAGGTCAGAAAATCATGTTTCCAAGGAAACAGCCCTGCAACCACCCACCTTCAAAGGAAATGCAAGCGGGTGCTAAATTGTCAGGGTTTCTAAAAGCCTCTGTGAACCATGGTTATTGCTGAGAAGACAATTCCTTGCCTTCAAGTCTCCTCAGACCAACCATGGTGTTCATCTTTCTATTTAAATATGTTCTCTCTCCAGCAGGAATCTTCTGCTGAAAATATTAGCCCATACATGTTCAAAATTTGATTACTTAAATTAGAAGGTTTTCTAAGTAAAAGAGAAAGCCTACTAGAGTATGACAAGAACATGTTTTTAGAAAAAAATGAACACCAAACATGAGACACCACACAGCTTCAGTAAGAAATCGGGCCAAGTTAAACTTGGCTGTGACAAACTTCAGGGTATGCATGTGAGACAATGCATGCTAAATGTGATTTTCACTGACATCATATCTGAGAATGTTAAAACGCCTTATCTCATCTGTAATATTGAAGGCAATAGAAATTATGAAGAAAACTGCTTAAATTAGTTAAATAGTACATGACTCCATGGAAGAAAGAAAACATAGCACCTTTGAATTTAGTTTCCAAACATTTACTTGAATTTGAAACATTTGGAAGAAGAAAAAACAGACCTGAATTCATTATAATATTGCTCTGCTTGGAAAACTCTGATAAGTGTCTTATTAGCTCAAATTAACTTCAAACACTTTGGAGTGTCTGCCAGGCTGGCCATGGTGTACTGAACTCCCCTGGCTCTGTTTTGAACCACTTAACAGGGCACACTCCCGAAATGTCCTTCATCCCCTGTCCCTGTCCCTCTCGATGCAGTCAAGGTCTTCTGAAGGAGGAGATGGTGTCTTGGTCTCCCTCCCCTCCCATCCTAAATTATGGTAATTACCCATTACCATTGTATTATTAGCAGCCACACTTGTATTTGCTTATTTATGTTTACAGGTAAAAGTTCATCAACAACAAGAAATGAGCAAAAGTGTAAAGATCAACAAAAAGATTAATAGATTTATAAAGCCATATTCAGCCTCTGTCTTCTCAGTCCTTCAGTATTTGTCTCATCTGGGTGCATTGTCACTAAATCATCCTTAGCTCCCCCAGCTGTACACGGGCTTTCCCTCCACTTACTGTTACTCTGGCAAATCAACATACATTACCAGGCTGGAATATCTCTTTATTGCTTAAACTCCCATTTAAATATTTGACCACATTACACATAATGGAGGATAGAAAAATACAAAGGAGAAAAAAAATAAAATTTTTCAAGAAACACAACCCCGTTGCAATCACTGTTGATGTTTGGAGTATTTTATTCCATTTGTTTTTTTTCTAGGTGTATGTGTTTCATTTGCTTTTACCATTCATGTCATTATTCTCATTGTTATTGGAATCAGATTGCTGTTGAATCTTTCTCACATTCTTTATTCCCAATTAGAGAGGTCTTGAAGGAACAGATTAAGAATTGTAATGATTTCCATATAATGTGTTTCACATGACTTCTGGAAGACAGTAGGTGTTCAATAAATGTTTATTTTGTTTACTTGTCATTCCTGTACTTCATATCTACAACTTCCAGGAGGGGCTGTGCCTTTAGTGGGCAAAGATCTGTTCTGGGCTTGGGGCTGTGAGGGCCATCACTCTGGGCCTGGCATTCTCAGACGTGGACCCAAGGAAAGTCCTCAGAGCAAGCCCAGTTTGTTCTCCTCATAGGTGTCTGGCCTATTTATTACCTCCATGACCATGCAGGTAACAGGTGACATCAACGACATTCCCAAAAGACAAATCCCTGATCCCCTACATGGTAGATAAAACCTAGAGCAAAATTATGGCATTTATTCTCAAAGCTGGAGATTTTAATCCATGTTGTTTTTTATACAGTGTGACTGGTGTTGAAACTTGAATCTACCTGGAAGACACAAATGTGTTGACCACAAATCCAGAGTCATGTCTCTAAACCTCCTAGGTTAACAGTTGTCTTTATACTGGGCAGTGGAGTAACACTGTTAATGTCCCCTGTGTCATTCTGTACGTCACCAAGGTGTTCGTGTTGACCTATAAATGCATTTTCACAAAACTCTCACTGAATTAAACAGAGGGTCCTAGAATGTCCTCTTGATAAAATGACACTTTAAATATATGACATAGTTTTACTTAGGCAGGGCCAGCTAATAGAACAAGCAAAAATCAGTAACTCATTCCCTAGGGCCCCTCTCTTGTTATCACCTCCCGCTCACGCCCCTCCCCACTCCCAGGGAGTTAGTTAGCATTGCTCCTTTAGGGCGAAAACAGAGGATGGCTGGAAAAAGCTCATAAATCTTTGTGAACAATTTCCAGACCTTACCAAGAGGTAACTTGTGGCTTTAATGTCACTCTTGCAGGGAAATTAGATTTTTCTTGAAAAACAGAACAAGCCGAGAAACTTTATTTTCCTCCTTACTCACTCTCTCAGCTTCCAGGTGAAAACATGCCCTCCCTCTGTTTTTAGGTGAGCACTCCGCACAAGGAAAAATGAAGAACTGACAGCGTGAAGAGTCCTCCCCACACCTGGGCAGTAAATACGTAAGTTTCCCAATTTCATTCACTGAGCTCATCATTAATATCTGTTTTGTTAGGCTGCTACAGCTTAGATTATTTTTAAAGACTTTTATAAGATGGAAAGGTAATGATCTGTGTTAGTGAAATCATTATTGTCTATTTGTCTAAAAACAAACACTGAAATGATTTGCCAGAGTAATGCATGGCCTGGGGGCTATAAAAAATTCTTCCCGTTGCCCTGCCTACCTCCGGAATGACACAATTCACTCCTCCCGCCCGTTGGCAATCTTTCCTTCTAACTGCAGTTTCCTTTTACCTGGGCCACTATACACACACTGACAGTGGCAGTTAGACAGAATTCTATTGCTATTGAAGACTTGCAGGACTCAAAATGACAATGCCTACAAATTGTAGTTTATTGCAGGAAAGATTAAGAGACAATAGCTATTGAAGTTGGGATGTACATCACAGGCAAAGGCTGGCTCAGGCCATGAAATCCAGAGAAGCCGGTTCAGAGGTCTAACTATCCTTCCTCAGTAGGGGGGTACCACGATATACTTCTTCTCTGGGTCCAGGAACCAACCACCTCACTGAAGATGGTCCTAAATGCAGTCTCACCTGGGCTCTCTTATACCCAGCTGACCCTGAAGGCAAATTCTTGCTATAAAACTAGCCAAGTGACAGAGCCTTCCAGGTGTTTCATTGAGACCATGAGCAGATGGTCAATTTCATTACAATAAGTTAATCAATAAATAATTGAAAAAGAAATACTTATTCTGCATGCTTCATGCTTTGACCAGAAATCAATGCAAAGCATTCAGTGCTTCTTAGTTCATTACAATAGCTCAGGCCAATTTTAGGCCTGCTGGTAGGAATTGTCCATGCTTAACATGGGATTGTCTTTTGCTTTCCTACAGTTGTTAAGAAGTTTTTTTCTGATTAATTTAGCCTTCTTAAGAAGCATTGATTAAGTGCCCCCACAGTTAGTGTTTGATGCTTTTTAGAATGTGCAGAAGAATTTGCCCCCTGACAACTATAGATGTTTTAAAAAGAACAAAAATACACACATGCCTAGAACTGGCCTGACAAAAATGGCAGGCATGGGGTGGTTTCTGGAGAGAAGAAAATTGTTGTGTCCATTATCTGTATGTCCTGCTCAGCCACTAATAAAATGCTATTATGGACACTCTTATGAAACTTCAGTTTGTTCCTTATATTCATGGTAGATCTTTGGGGGGGAGGTCACTGCAATACTAATCATAAGCATTATCCTACTCACATAAACCCAGAGGTTTACCTTGCTGATCTATGCTGCAAACTCTTGACTTCACTTGGAAACTCACCTATGGAGGAGCATGATTCAGTTGAACAAAAAGTGACAGAGATCTTACTCCTTGCCAAGTACTCAGCCAGGTATAAAGAGGTATAAGACATGGTTAACGTCCTCAAGGAGCTCATAAAAGTGAAAAGAAATAAACATAAGGAATATTGCTTTAATATAATTTGGGAAATAATAAGATAGTGGTATGGAAAGGTAGACATGGCACTTTGAAGTTTAATGGCAAATTTTTTAGAGAAGATGGTATTTGGTCTTATACAATAATAAATTTTTTTATTATTGAAGTTTATGGCACTTTGAAGTTTAATGGCAATTTTTTTAGAGAAGATGATATTTGGACTTACAGAATAATTTTAAAAAGTGACCTAGGTTTTTCTAGGGATGGAGAACAATATTTACAAATGCATAGAATTGTAAAATTGAATGATGTGTGAAAAAATTCATAAATAACTGGCTAGCATAGAGCTGCACTGCACACATCTGTTGTTGGGTCAGTGAGCCATTGATTGATACTGTCCGATGATGAGATTAACAGAAACTGTGTATAAACATTTAAAAAATATTGTTAGACCCAGCTGGTGTGGCTCAGTGGATTGAGCGCCTGCCTACAAAATGAAAGGTCACTGGTTTGATTCCCAATCAGGGCACATGCCTGGATTTTGGGCCTGGTCCCCAATAGGGGCCATGTGAGAGGCAACCACACATTGATGTTTCTCTCCCTCTCTTCCTCCCCAATGTCTAAAAATAAATAAATAAAATATTTTTATTTAAAAAATTAAAAATTGTTAGAGCAATCTGATATTGCTGCAACATTCCATTCATGTTATTGTAATTTTTAAGAAATCAGTTGGCAGCTGATTAGAAATTTTTTTAAATCACATGGCACATGGTTCCTGGTTCTTCACTGTAGAATTCCTGGGAAGCACCCACCTGCAGGACAGAGTTCAGTTCCAGGGGTCTGGGAAAAGAGGCTGGAGCAGAAAAGGCACCAGAAGTTCATAGGAGTTTCATTTACCACAGTAAACTATAAAGTCTTCACAGTATGAAAGTCAAATACCTTCTTTTTCTAAGGAGAATAAAATCAGATTCTTTCCTCTGTCATTAATGCCATCAAGAAGTCACTTACTCATTTGGGGAGATCCTCCAACTTTGGATATAAAGTACACCCAGGAAATGAGTCCAAAATTAGAGAGGGAGGGTCTGTTCCACAGTCATCCTTATAGTCATTGTACTCCTTCTGCAGCCACACCATGCTCTGGCATCTGCTGGACCCTCTGTCAGTGGCAGATGCTCTGATAGAACATCAGAAACACTCTGCTCTACAGTTCTTCCCATAGACAAAGTCTTGACAGAGAGCCTATGGTCACTGTCTGACCTTCAAACTGCCCCTGAAGCCATGGCAGCCAGTGGCCATCTTTTCCCTGCGCAAGGCAACAGTGCAACCATCCCTGCCAAAGACCCTGCCTCTGCCAACCATGCCATAAAACAGTAGGGTGCAGGTCTCCACCCCAGCACCACTGGCAATCCCCACGCCCACCCTACCATCTTCCTCCCAGACTCTAGTAAACCCCCAGCACTGCCACAGCAGCAGAAAACATCTAACCTCTGCCAGGTCAGGCCACTACCCCTTTCCCACCCAGAAGCCACTATCTCCTGCTTCTCTTTGTACAAATAGAGAAAGCTGTTTCTGTTCTGCTTAAAAAAAAAAATGTAGTCAACCAAAGTTCTGGCTGTCCTGTGAAGGAGAAGTAGAGAGTTTTCTGTTCATATTTCTGCCAACTTATTAGGAGAAGAATGGATGTCGTCAATAAATTTCTTAATTACATTGCCATCCCAAGCAACAGACCTTGACTTATATCCCACTGGGGATAGAGTAGTTAAGAGTTTTAATCAGAATAGAAATATGATGAGATTTGTGCTTGAGACACATAGAAAATATTTACTTTGGAAGAGTAACTCAAAGGCAGTGAGACTATAAGCAAAGAAGTTAGAAGACTAGTGCAATATTCTCTAGGAAAGAAAACAAGGTCTTTTTCACATCTGCAGAGATGGAGATGGAGATGAAGAGAGAGAATGGAATAGAGAAATGTCTAGCAAATAAAATTCTCCAAAGAATTGATTGAATGTGGGCAGTGGGAAAGGAGGAAAATTAGGACCACAGATGATGTCCACACTTCTAGCATGAGTATCTGGATGACTCATGGAGGTTAGGGTGCAGATGGGAATCGTGGAGTGAGAGGGGACAAGTCTGGGAGGTGGTATCATGGCTTCCCTTTCGGGTGTGTTGTGTTTGAAGTGCTTGTGAAAGGTTCAAGTGACTCTACTGGGTGGAAAAAATTCAGCTATTCTCCCCCAATATCTCCACTTCTTCACTTTCTTGAAATATGAACTGTTTTTTCCCCTATAGGCTTAATCTTCAGCTTCTGTGCTCCAGGAGTAGAACGAGAAAAAGCCCTGTGGAATTCATCCTGACTTCGATCTGGCTCACCCATCCATACCAATCACCTGTCCCAACAAAGTGACATCAAGATGACATATAATAATCTGATAGAATCAAAAAATCCTGGATATACCCTGTCCTTGGAGACAGGAAAAGTCACATTTGTACATTTTATAAGAACATTCTCAGAACAAATTTTAGGAAAGGTGTCTGTGAGCCGTTAACCTGAGAGCCCAGGGGTGTGGGCTCACTGATGTTAGGATCTTGCCTTGAGTTTAAAGTTTCCAGAGCTGACAGTTTTTATCCATAGGGACTTCCCTACTTTTTAGTGTTCTTCTATTACCTAATGTTTGTATTTATTGTTTTCCACTATGTTAATGCAGGGAAATTTGCAAGTGTATTATTAAATATTAGAAATCATGATGTGCCACCTTGTACATAAAGATATTTTATTCATATTTTCATGTGTTACTTGTAATAAATAATTACTCTATTCAAAACACTAAAAATCACTGGGTGACTGTGAAAGTGGCAGTGGTATTGTCTTCCATAATTAGGAATATGCTGGATGGGTTATGAGATTATGGGAACTCTATGATGAAAGGTATCTGTAATAATTGATAAAAGGACAACAGTCACATATCGGACCCCGTTAGAGGTAAGTCGTACCATTTCTTTGGTATATTTGTAATTCATGCTGTGTAGCAAGGATATAAGGGCATTCATGACTCTCTGTGCTGCATTCATTAAGAAGATAAACAGGATTGAAAGCTTTTTTTAATTTTTAAATACTGTCTGTGCATTTTTTATTTCTTTTAGAAATGTAATCATTTGTCCTAGCAATCATTGTTAAATCTCCAGTCTGTAGAAATGAACACTTTAGAAATACATAATTGTGATATTACTTTTCAGTGTATCCCTTTCCCAAAACACACACACACACACACACACACACACGACTATAGACTCCACTCCACCAGGAGCACATTCCTCTGTGGAAAGCTGACAGATCAACCTTGACCATTCCTTGGATACATACAATCAAAATGTCATGTTGGCGGAAGTTCTGTGGAAAGTTTGGAAACTAGTCAGCTGCCAGTGGCAGCTCTTTACCTTTTATGATGAACTAAACTGATTTCGATACTAAATCATCTTGGTGATATGAGGGCAGTGTGGTAGAGACAGAATGCTGTATATAAAAACTGCCCTCTAAATTTCTTTTGTTGCAGTGTATTTGAAAACGTTCAGCTTTAGGGATTATATAAATAATCCTCTTGCTTTTAGCTTCCTGATGCCTGGACATCAAGACACCAAGAAAGCATATCTCTATTTCTGACTGGTGTCTCTTTCTGTCTCTTTGGGAAGAAAGACAGGAAACTGGAGGGGAAAAAGAAGTAAGAGGGTAGAGAAAAGATCAAGGATCTTCAATACATATACTCTCCCTGAGAGATGCTTTGTCCCTGTTTTACTCTAACCCACAAGACTTTTAAACTGGAGTGACAGTGTCCGGAATGTGCCATCCATGGGCCATTTGTCTTCAGAATGAAAATGTTCCAGTACCCCTAGAATGCTCTACTGAGCTTCTCAACAGAAGCCTTGTTAAACAGAATGTATTGCACAGAAACAAACTCTTTTACAACATTAATTACTGCAAGTGATATGTTATTCTGGTGTCTAGAAAAACCATTTCTTCACTTTTAGTAAGAACTTTTGGAAGAATTTGCAACAATTGAAGAAAGGGAAAGCTTTTTAATGGTAATGAAAAAATAAAATTCATTTTGGTTCATGAATTGCACATAAACAATAGGCTTTATACTAACAACTACAACATTATATCTTTAAAAAAATTGAAGTGATGCCCTGGCTGGTGCAGCTTAGTGGACTGAGTGCCAGCCTGTGAACTAAAGGGGTACCAGTTCGATTCCCAGTCAAGACACAGGCCTGCACTGCAGGCCAGGTCCCAGGTAGGGGTGTGTGAGAGGCAACCACACATTGATGTTTCTCTCCCTCTCGTTCTCTCTCTCTTCCCCTCTCTGTAAAAATAAATAAATACAATTTTTTTAAAGTGATAAGAAGATTGAGGAATTTGAAGAGATATTCATGGCATTTTTGTACCATCAATCTCAGAGGTAATGTCAGCATTTTTATAAATCATCTTAAACTTATATTGAAGTAGGAAATTTTGTTATCAAGCCAATATTATCATTAATCAGATATTTTTTAATCATCTGACTTAAATTGTCTATTTTTTATGCCTGACTTGTTATAAGCTTTTTATTCTGATGTACAGCTCAAATGTCACTATAGAAAAGGAATGACTGTATTTAAATCAAAGGCAAACTTTTCTATGTGTTTGTTCTGCAAGACAGTATGAATATAATTTAAGTCTATCAATAGTCAAAACATACACAAGAGCTAATTAACTGGCAGTATTGTTACCTGACAGTAAAAGGATATTGTTGGCTGACACACTGGCTGTGACAAGCAAGCAGAGAAAGACCTCTAAATTCCCCTTGCAGAGCGAAAATATTCCATTACATTTCTGACAAATCTGTACCTTATTTGTTGTTTACCTGCCATGCTTAAGTTTGTGAGGATCAACTCAGAACTTGAGGGAACCACCAACAATGAACCTACCAGCTTTCCCTGATTTGTCTGAGCTGAGCTCTATTTATGATCATTCGAGTCTTTATAAGGTCCTAAAAAGAAAGCTGAGTATGTCCTTTAAAAGTTGTGTTTAGAGTAATGATAGTCTCAAGACTATGAAACTGTTAATTTTTGCCTAATATTAAAGATATCCATTATTGTGATTAATTAAATAATTGGTACCCTGAACTGAGAATTTGTAATGGATTATCCAGAGGTTTTTGAAATTATCCTCAGCAATTTCCCCACAAGCACAAACAAGACTTCTCATGTTCCATTAAATGATCATGCTTTGTCATTGCTTTAAGGAGTTTTGTCCTATGGGCTTGAACATATTTCCTGTTCTGGATGCTTTTTAAAGGAAACCAAGTTTTGATAAATTTGGAAGTAAAAAAAGTAGAATACACCCAATCAGAACAGCAGAAAGAGAAAAAACAATCTTAGAAACTGCAAGAAAAACAGTTACCTACAAGGGAGTTCACATAAGCTGTCAGTTGATTTCTGAGCAGAATCTTTGCAGGCTAGAAGAGATTGACAAGAAATATTCAAAGAGATGAAAAGCAAGGACCTATAAACAAGACTACCCAGCAAAGCTATCATTTGAACTGAAGTACAGATGAAGAGCTTCCCAGATAAGAAAAAGCTAAAGGAGTTCATCAGCACCAAACTTGTGTTATATGAAACGTTAAAGGGTCACTTTTAAGATGAAGAAAAAGGATCTAAATATGAATAATAAAATGGCAATAAAAACATGCATATCAACAATTGATTCCAAAATATATATAAATAAACAAGCAGAAGAGAAACATATTCAAAGATACAGAGGACTTTTTGACAGTTGCCAGAGGGGAAGAGTGTGGGGGGATGAGTTTAAAAAGTTACATGGTTAAGAAGTACACATTGGTAGTTGGAGAATAGCCAGGGGGATGTAAACTACAGCATAGGGAATATAGTCAATAATATTGTAATAACTGTGAATGGTGTCATAGGGTTATGAGATTTGGGGGGATGATCACTTAGTAAGTTATATAATGTTTAATCACTGTGCTGTATACCTGAAACTAATATAATATTGTATGCCAACTAATATTGAAAAAAATAAAAAAAATATTCACAGTTAAAAAATACCCCTAGAGTAAAGCCCTAACCTGACCTAAAAGCAAGCCTTGAAAGAAAACAGCTGCTAATACACAAGATATTTAAAGGTCTCCCAGGACAAAGTCTGATGACCTTTTATAAACAAACTAAATGCATCGAAACAACAACTCAGCAACGTGAAGTTCCAAATATTCACCTTCCAGTTTAAAATTATATAGATGCTTCCAAAGATGTAAATCATGAACCATAACCATGAGAGAAATGAGTTAATAAAAATGTAGTCAGAAGTGACAAAAAGGATGGACACTTCACAATTAATTCCATGAGAACAGTATTATCTTAATAATAAAACCAGCCAAAGACATTACCAGCCAAGGAAATAAAATGATAGGCTTCTAGCCCACATGAACACAAATACAAAAATATCAAAACCACTAACTAAATATTAGCAAATAAAATTTAGCAATATAAAAAAATAAAAAGTGAGATTATCCCAGGAATCTAAGGTGGTCTAAAATTTGAATATCAGTCATTGTAATTCAACATATTAACAGCATACAGAAGAAAACATTCTTATCTCAACATACATAGAAAAACATTTGACAAAATTCAATATTAATCTATGATAAAATCTCTCATTAAACTAGGATTAAAAGGGAACTTCCCCAATTTGATAATGCAAAATTATGAGAAACCTACAGCTAACTTTTTCATAAAGTGAGAAAATAAAAGGCTTTTATTTAAACTTAGAAGCAAAGTAAACATGTTCACTCTGTCACTTCTAATCAACATTAAATCTGAGGGGTGGAGGAGGGAGGTCCTACAAATGCATCTATGCAAAGAAAATAAAGTCTTACAGAGATTGGAAAGGAAAATGACAGATTCATATATAAATCCTATAATATCTACAAAAAAATACTAGAATTAATCATTGAATTTGTTGCGGTTGCAGATTGATTTCTTTTACTAAGTAACAAAGAAATGAAAGCTGAAAGAGTACACCATTTACAAAAATGCCATCAAATATAAAGTTCTTAGGGATAAATTTTACAACATATGTACACACCCTATACATTTTAAGATGAGAGAAACTAAAGAAAACCATATCAAAAATTCAAAAACTTAATATTATTAACATGTCAGTTCTACTTAAATTGATTTATAGACCTATCACAATATCAGTCCAAACCAATTTTCCTCTTTGATTGGAAAGAAATTTATGATTCCAATATTTGTATGGAAATAAACCTACAATAGCTGAAACACTTTATTGAAATTTAAAAGACTCACACTACTACATTTAAAGACTTACCTTAAAATTACAGTAATCAAGACAGTGCACTATTGACCTAAAATCATAATTTAGATTAGATTTTAGTGAAGATGGAGTGTAGGTAGACATGACTCGCTGCTTCACACAACCACATCAAAACTACGAGTAAAATATAGAACAGCCATCACTCAGAACTGTCAGAAATTGAGTTGAATGGAAGTCTGACAACTACGGAATTAAAGAAACCACATCCATTCAGACTGGGAGGAGAGGTGGAGATGTGGAATGGTCCGGTCCCACACCATGTAGTAGATACAAATTCAGGAAGGATATCTCAGAAGCAAGGAGTTCCACCCTATACCAGGCCCCCCAGACCAGGATTCCAGTGCAAGGAAGATAAATCCCTACAACTTCTGGCTGCAAAAACCTACAGGGATTGCATCAGTGGAAGAAACTTCTGGAGCCCCAAGCAGTTCCTCTTAACCCACACATGTACTCACCAACTCACACTCACTCTCTCTAAGCATCAGCACTGGGGTAGCAGCTTGAAAGCCACCAGTGGTATACCACCAGTAATACACAGGGAGAGACTGAAGTGTCTGGCATCAAGGCAAGCAGAGGGCAGTGTCTCTTTTCTCAACTCTCCCCTCACAGAGCCAACAAGCTGGTGCCATATTTAAGATTCCATCAATCTGTCCAACACTGATCCACCTTGGAGATCCCTAGAGACTCCACCAAACTTAATGTAAGGGCCTACCCAAGCTGCTTTTCC